AAAGAAATTCTTGCCATCTAGAGAAGCTCTCCGATGTCAAAAAAATTCTCCTTGTCAGTATCAAAAGAAACATTTTGGGAACATTATAGAACATAATGATGTAGGGGTTGATCATCTCACTGCCAAGATCTCATTCAAAATTCTCCTTACTGTCTGTCATACAATTATTATAATGTTAGTTTGGAGAATTTAGTATTGAATGAATTAAAAATCCCACAATTGATACCTTCCTTAATTCTCATTACTTGTCTGCCTGATAATGTATTGATATTGTAAGGAGAAATTCTGTATTGGTCACTCATGGGAGTTAAAGGGTTAAGCAAGGGCTAACATTGTACCTCAGACACTCTTCTCCTCTTCCCTAGTTCAAATTCCATATTCAACAGATGATTTCAGATCTGATCTTACATATATTTCTGGGAACTTAACCAAATCTTGTCGAAGATTTTCTAAGAAAATCTTGTGCTGGGAGAGTTCCCTTATTATGAAAATAATTCCTGAATACCTGGTTTAGTTTCTTCATCATACTTTGCAAGGATTTCTTCAATATGATCCTGAAGCGTCCCATATTCCAACAATCGTCTGAAAGAAGAAAACATGGACATTTCACAAATCATATCCTTCAAGAGCTAATGTAACAGCTGGCTCCCTATTACACAGGTTGCTCACAACTCAAGCCTCTTTTACTTTCCCCTGAGAGATCTAAGTCACATATTAAGGTAGCTGTCTCTATAGCCAGGTAAAAATATCTTATTGAAAGCCCTACTGGGCACTGCTATGTTAAGCAATCTTGCCTTTGCAGGATTCCCTCTGTTGCAGTTTGCAACCAAAATCAATGGCTGGAGATATCTTGATCTCACACTGTTACTATACTATAATTTATAACTTAACACTTTTTAAAAGTTATGTGGGAAAAAATACTATTTTATACTTCAGTCAAGTGTCTACACAGAACATTGCAAAAAATTTGTTCTATGATGGTCAGCAGCATCAATGATATTGCCTGATCGTCTAGTTAAGGGTACTCCTGAATAAAAATGAATTGCCAATGACGGTGACTGACAGCTTGATAACCAAAGCAGAGGTCGTCGTCAGAATCAAAGTCTAAATAATTATGCAGGTGAGTGTAATATTCGGATATTTCTGATCAAGTCAGTATGTGTGTTGGTTGATGAAGAGGGGACATAACAGCCAGACTACCTTTACAGAGGATACGTCAAAGCTAAGGCTCGGAGAATTACTCCAATATGCAATCGTAAGTTTCGTCCGTACGATCGTGCGATTTAATGAGTTAGTAAGCTAGCTAGCGTCTTGTGTACCAGATAATTAGACATGTACACAAGTTGGCCGGCCAGAATTGAGCAAGCATTCGCGAAGTTTAGTCGTTTTCTCTATTTTTATACTCTTGCCACATAAAACTATTGCAGCGTACTGAGCTGAAAATATTCCGGCGAAATACCTGGGAGTTGCGATGTCTTCATCTCTTTTCGACGGAAACACAGTTGACAAGAATTGATCAACATCCATAATAAGCGTTACGATCTCCACAAAATTCCAAGATTTTGACCCAGCAAACTCGGTGCTAAATAAATTAACCAAATTAGGGTTTTCAAAGTCCAATTGTGGGTTTAAAACTAGAAGATCCGAGTCATTGAAAACACCCAGGGAAAATATCAAAGTGGACCGCCATAACTATTGAAGACTGGGGTCTAGTAATTTCAAACTAGGTTGAAAGGAGAGGAGGGTCTGGAAAGGACTATCGGCTTATTCTTTATTCCTTTTCAGTTTTCAATATAAATAAAGGTTTTCCATTTTCATGAATGTCATCACATCTGGAAAAATTAACGAGTTAAGTTTGGGGGTGAATTTGAATGAAGGGCAAGAATAGTCAATTTGAGTTTTCAGAGTTTTTGAGTTAAGTGAGTTTGAGTTAGGTCATGGTAAATGACTGGAAAATTAGCCCAAATCTAAGGGAAATTGGAACTTGTTAAAGTTGGCGAGGGCTTCATGTCGACTGGATGTGGTAAGCAGGGTTCTACTGTAATTACAGTGTTACACAAAGGTAAGAGATATGAAACTGAACAATTCTCATTGGTTTCACCAACCAGTCCCTTTGTACAACCTCTTTTACCCACCAATCCCATGACCTAAGCAGGACTTCAAAAAGTTGTCTTTTGGCGACCTTCAATTTTAAAGTGGTTACCATAAAAGAGTTAGGTCACCTTCTTTTGCACCACCTCCCTCTGTCAAAAAAAAAGCACATTTATGGGAGGATATTTCATGTTGCACTACATCACATATTTAATAAGCTGGACAACACGATTGCAACACTTTCATTTATTTTTTTCAGAGATGTTTTTCTTTCCCTTTTTTTTTTTTTTTTTAAATCTGTTGGTTGCCAATTGACAACTTTTGTTAAAATTTTAGTCCCCAAATATGTTCACTTGCCATGGTTACCAAAATGTTCACAGGTTGCAGCACTGTTCAGTGTCAATTTTCCATACTGTGTACCATATTTTCTTAGGATTTAAGCTAGGAGAATCTCAATCTAAACTGATTATACTTTTCTTTCCTCTTGTTACTTTACGTATGGATTACTCCTCAGAATAAAAGGGTCAAAGTATTTTTTCCCTTCGTATATGCTCACTTGAAAATTGGATCCTCTGAAGCCAAGAATATCTACTTTCAGTTACTTAACTCTTTAATTCCCCAGAAGTGACTGACATGTAACTTCTCCCTATTATATCCATACATTATCCTGCAAACAGGTAACGAGAATACTCAAATTTATCAAGTTGAAGTTGGTGTCTTAATCCAACAGCAAATTCTTGTAACTGATTCACAAGGAAATAGTTACAGTAAGAAGGGAGAATTAACAATCAGATCTTGGGAGTTAAAGGGTTAAGTTTTCAATCAGGTCTACTCTTGCTCCACACAAGGGGATTAAAATGTAATTTTTCTTCTTGAAATTGTGCATATTTTTTGGCCAGGATCCTTGTCACATCCTTGGGGTTTATACATCTTATAATGCAATGAACTTTTCCATTTAGAGAATCTTTTCTGAAAAAGACAATTTGTATGTCTAATTCAATTACATTTTTGAAGAATTGCTGAACATCCCGCTTCCCAATTGACAGGGGCAAGCCCTCCACTGATATTCTCTGCCGGTTAGTTCTTGTCCAGGGAAGCACACTTCTACGTTTTAAAACTTCACATCGCATGCCATTTATAACATGATCTTCCCTCTCCAGAAATTTATCCACTGTAGATTCTTTAGAGAAGTGAACACATGCCACAGTTAAAGAGCCCCAAACATTAGCACTGTCTAAAAAAACTTCCACGGATTCTACGTCTCCAAAGTTTTGAAAGTACTCTCTCAAACTATACACGGATACATTATCTTCTAAGGAACGAACAAAAAGATTTGTGGAACGCTGTAAAACTTGTTCAGCTTCTGAAAATGCCATCACCTTGGAGTCGATATCTTGTTCAGCAATCCTCTGCGTCGGCTCTTCAAGGGATCTCTTCACCTCAGAAATCGACGACAGTGCAACATAATATTTGTCTAACTCACCATCCGATTTACCCTCCTGAGCAAGAATGACATTTTTGACTTTCCCGAATTGAGAAAAATGGCTTTCGATCACTTTTTTACTCGTTGTTTTCAAAATACTGGTCACAAGCACTACTAAATCTTTGTTTGTGTGCTTGGGAAGCTTCTTTTCGGTCCTTAGTGGGTTTACAGTAATGTTGTCTCCAGCAACGATTGGATGACTATTGGCGAGAACTTTCTTCGCACTTTCCTTTTCACAAAATGTCACGAAAGCAAATCCTCGGGGCAAACGAGAGAACTTCGTAAGCATCAAATCTACCTTCTCGATCTCGCCATACTTGGAAAAGTAATCAATTAAATCGGATTTCGTACTCTGTCGAAGATTTCCAACGTGGACCGTCCGGCCGAATTCGACCTCTTGAGGAACCAAAGTTTGTGGCTGTTCATCATCGCTAGCTTTCGTAGACTTCTCTTTAATAGAGATGGATGGTAGAATTGCATTCAAACTCAAAACGGCATTAGATCGTAAAAAATACCGCAATGAAGAAGAAGAACTGAAGAATGACACCCGCACTCGCATATTCGCCGCCATTTTGGCTTACATAACCTGGTGAGTGAGGGATCAAGGGATATGGTGTGGGTCCCAGTTCTCCTACGTGGTCACGCCATGTGAGCTCGATGTCGAAGCGTTGCGTGACAACAAAATTTTCGTTACGCGAGTGGCCACTCGGCCTAAGACATTCCTCCAACGAAGAACTATTCTAAGGGCATTAATGCCTACATCCTTTCTTACCTGTAATTCTTCCCAGGTTGGCATATTTCTGACCCTACGAGCAGTCCTTCCTCATCGGCGAAGTCAATCGCGCGAGATGAAAAAAAAAAGTAAAAAAAAAAAAATTGTGAGTGCGCTGCGCGGAACTCCGGGGCTGAGGCACACGAACAGTTTCGTGCGCCTCACTCCCAGAGTTCCGCGCGTCCCAAAATTCTAAAATATTGAGTTGAAAGCCGGATGTCAATTGTTCCATAATTTAGGGAATTTTCTTCTTTTTTTCATAATTTCTTCGTTTTCTAAATTCATTAATTTGTGTTCTATTCATTTACGTCGTTGTTATCGATAAGAGTGGTTTGATTGAAGACAGAGAAAAACTGAATCATCAACTTTCAAATCTTCTTTTATATGCTTCCTCGTTTTGCTTCAGCTTTTTCATTCATTTTAATTTTTTTTTTTTTTTTTTACTCCATTGGTGGGTACTGATCGAGTGCTTGTTGTAAAATTTAAGTCTTCCTAAAGTCATTATTCATTGTCGAAAAATAATTTCAATTTTACACAAACTCTCATCAAATTGCATCTTACTATTGACAAAAGCCACGGAAAATTTATTGTTATAAGCATTTAAAAACGACGTTGATACAAATCTCTCTGCCAATTGGCAAAGCAATTCCAAATTCTAGATTTGTGAAATTGATAAATAATTTATGCTAATGTATTCGTAAACGTGTTTCGTCGATCACCTGCAGCTTATGAGAGACGCTTTCGACGCCAACTTGGAAAATCTGAGAGAAGTCCACTTTTCTTCTAGCGAAAAGGAAAATATTGACAGTTGAAATGCTAGCAGTTTCCTTCATAGGCAAGAAATTCTGCTGCGATGCTCAAGTCGAGGTTTGTACAAAGCAATTGTGAGCGAGGTCTCGACGGCCTTGTCAGGAAAGATATTTTAATTCATTTCATGTTGTCAATTGTACATTGAGGAGACGCGAAGATTAACTTTCGAGCGATATTTCAGCCGAATATCAAGGCAATATATCGAAGGTTTTTTTTTCATACTTCGATCTGCTGATGAAAATTGCGCAAAGAAAAAATATGATTTTTATTTTGATGAAATACTGCAGTTTTCAAAATTTGCTTCACACCTAAGAACGCTATGAAAATTCAATTCCCAATACTGAAATATTTTTCTCCCTTTGAGAATAATATTATGGCAGCTGTAAGATTTCCTCAGTGGACTAAAGCCATTTTCTTGAGGCAAAATAAATTGATTATGTTCTTCTTCTTATTTCTCTATGTATTGATGAGTTTTATTTCTGCGGTATTTTTTTTTCTCTTCTTCCGGTCTCTGAGAAGTCAAAACAAACCTTCCTCTATTTTAGCACGTCATGTAATCTATTCTTTTTTTTTTTTTTTTTTTATATATACCGGGTTGCCTCCAAACTTAACTTATAAACAAATTGTGAATAGTGAAATCAGTAAATGATACAGCCATACTCAAAGAAAAAAGAAATCTGAGTGTTTCCCGTAAGACTCGAACCTTCGATCTTCCGATGAGTATTTTGGATGCTCTATCACTGTTGCTGATGTCGTTTGTTGCTTTTATTGATTTTTTTTTTTTTTTATTCATATCAAGTCGTGACATAAGCCAAGAAAAAGACAATTCTTGATTATAGATTTTGCGCGAGAAATTAAACAGAGTGTTTACATAATATATAAGTATATATATAAGTACTTTTCATTTAGCAACTGTGACAAAGTATTGCTAAAATTTCTTTTTCATTTCTTCCCCTTATTCTGTTTGTCCCCAAAAGTTTTTACTTCTTAAAACTGAAGGAAATTTTTTTTGGCTCCGTGATCAAAATTAGGAGACGTTGAATCTTCTAAGTGAAAGGGAATAGATTTTAGAGTTATATAATCCCCTGAGTTTCGCCGTAATCTGTTAATTCCAGCAGGCTATTGTCAAGCCAAAATGAAACTACAAATCGCTAACCTTATCTTATTTTATTATCATGGGTGCAGACGCATACCCTGCTTCCCGGTTGAACTGCATTTTACCCAAGCCAATGATGATAACGGCAAAAGAAGAAACAAAAAAAACAAAAAAAAAAGGAACGCTTAATTCACAAGATGAATTAAGTGCCAGAGGCAATAATAATTAAAACTGAGATAATACTGTTCATTTTTTCCCCTCACACGTGATCCATGTCAAATAACATGAAGTTGTCGGTGCAAAATGTGTAATTACTTGTTATTATTGATGCAACTACAGGGAGCGCTCCTTATTTTTTTTTCAAGAGAGGAGAAAAACGCAAGTGACAATTTTCGTGCCAAAACCGGTTTTTATTTTTATTAGCTTGGGATTATTGCGGACATAAACAACAGGCTTTGAAAACAAAAGCATCGGGTCTTAAAAGCGCTGACTTCTCATTTCTTTATTTTAACGTCATGGTTCATTTCATGTTTGCATTCATGACGAAAAGAGAGTCCAAGCATGGTACTTGTTTTCGATTTTGATCTTCTTAAAAGCCCGAACAAAATATTGAGTGAAAAAAAAACCCATGAGGTTCATTTTACTGGGATTCATTCCAGTTACCTGCGATGCTGTTCTCTGGAATGGCCAGCCATAAAATGTGAGGCAAGCAGGGTCTGTAGGTGTTTTTAGAGATTGTTAATGAATCATGAGTATAGTAATACTTAGCCGTAGAGCATTTAAAAAACAATTGGTATTTTGTCAGAAGACGAATAACAATATATGTAATGGTCACATCTAATTCTTGGGATGTTCTTACACTATATTGCTAATTTTGTTTCAAAACTGTTTCGCAAGTAACTAACTTTGCAGCTCGTTTCCCTCGGCATTCTATTCAGTTCCCCTGACAGATGGTCTGTACCCATTTCGGTCGTGGAGAGGGACACCACCTGAGCTCAAACCCAGACCAACAATGCCTAACGTGCTGGTGGGTAAGCTTATTCTCTGTTTTCTTACAGGTTGCCAATCAAGTCGAAAACAGTGGATTGCAGCTTAACCTGAAAGTTCGTGAGACATGTCGACAGTTTATCAAGACACCCGAGCCGGTTCTCGCTACACTTCATGTAAGCCTCAACAATGGGCGAAGGGAGGACGTCAACAAGTGCAAAGAACTACTTTCTTTTCTAAAAGAGCAAGTCCTGCCAAAGACTGTAAAACTGATAAGTTTAAAGAGAATTAAAAAAATCAAAGATAAAAACAAGAGCAATGGTGGGAAACTTTTTTGGGCTGCAAAGAATGGTACAGGAAAGTCAAAAAAAAATTATAACTTTCTTGGAGTGCAATTCTTTTAACAGTTTTTCTCTATGACGCTAAAAAAAGATAATTTTTTTTTTTTTTTTTAACTTAAAGCACAAATACTAGAGTAATACAAACAAATACAAAGTTAATTGCTTACAATCCACATTTTAATGTGTCAGATTTAATTTATGTTGTGGTTATATAATAATATAAGCCTAATTTGTACAAATACTTCTACATCAAATTCCTTTTTTGGTAGAACGACTGTATATACAACTGCGTCTATAACTGTTAATACCCGATACTCATCTATAGTTCAATTATCTTCTTCGATTTGAGTATCGAAGAAGATAATTGAACTTTTATATTAAGATGAATATTTTTTGGAAAAAAAAAAACAAACAAAACAAGACAAAACAAGAGATGTGACCAAAACAAGGTTTTGCTTTTAATCGGTATCGATTTGAAGAGGAAAGCTTTTTGATTAAAATTGTCCTTTTCAGGAAAGAAGAGAACAAGAAAAGATGCACGCGAGGTATGAAAAATGCGTCGTTGTTATAATTCATTTGTTTCAAATTAATAATGGTACTAGGACTGAGTGGAGTCCAATTCGGTCTGTAATCATACGGGTGATAACAAAATCGGACGACTGTGCAGCGGAAGTCCAATTTGTTTATCACGAGTATGATTTCAGAATTGGACGACACGAAGTCTTATTCTACATAAGTGTATGTTGGTTTGATTTTTACGTCTTTTAGCTGAAAAATTAGTAGTTGTTGTTGTTGTTTTTTATTTCTTCAGATACAGAGAGTTATCCTCAAAAATCTGTCGTCGGCTCTAGCATCAAACTCGATAGTACCAGTCTGCACGAGAACCACACGGCGGGCACTTTGGCCACACCCTCAGTCACATGTGCAAATCTGACACGAAAAGAAAAAGTTGAATCTAACGACGACATCCTTGAAGAAGACAAGAACCCTTCAATAGCAAAACTGAAGAACATTTCTGATGAAAATGTATCATTGAATTATCTTGATGAAGGAAAATTAGGAAAGACCGAAAAGGCGGTGGTTGAGACTCCTTACGACAACCTCACCACTTCCTTTGCAACAAAAGAAAGGAATAAAATTGTGAAGCGCAATACCACGAGCTGCTTTGGAATTAAGCGATCACGGAAACTGGGCACTGGTAAATGGCACTTGAGCGAGAGAGGTCTGCAACGCTTGCAAAATTTGAAACAAGACGCTCGATCCAAAAACACTGCAAGTCCCACAATGATTGTAGAGCATAACCTGAGTGAGCAGACGAAACGTGATCTGGAACAATTTGCAGCTCAATACGTTGGCAAAATTTGTGAATTAGCACTTACAAGGAAAGCGAAGGAAAGCTGCCGGGAATTTGCAAAGGTCTATGTCGAGAACGTGCTCACCCTGGCTAAGAACAGAATTTCTGAATTAGAAAATTTGAAGCGTCATGAACAAAACGTACGCTGTGAAGAAAAGTGTAGTTTAGAGGTTGAAGACCACCCCAGCTTCAGTAAGGTATGGAAATATTCTCAAGCTCTGGCTGAAGGCCATGATTTCTCTGAGGCACGGACAACAGTGAAGGACATAGCAGTGAATGGCGAAGAACTTGGCACATCTTCGGATCATTTACGCGGTAATGACGGAGACATTATAAACGATTGTCAGACTGGAGATTTTGAGCGTGAAATTGTAAACTTAGCGTCGTCGAGCGATGACAGCCTCTCAGAGAATTCCCCAACTTCCTCTAGTGAGTCGGTGGAGTTTCATACACAATGCACACGAGAAAGAGGCGAACCAATTCCACCATGCGAAATCGAGAACGAGGCAAAAGTTCACTATGCGTTTGAAAATATGGAGAGCGGGAAATTAGCTGACGAGAATTACGGGTTCCCTCTACAAGCAGGTAAAGAAGATGGCAATTGTTCTCTTGAAGCACTAGGAATTTCTTCTACGCCCACAAAGGAAGGGGAAGAGCTGCCACCCGGAAAAACAAGACAAGGAAAATTAGCCACCAGGACGCAAAGGACTGGTAACCAACCTGAACCCAGCTGCGGTCGAAGAAGACCCTTTTATAAAAGGACTGTATCGGAGTCTCAAGCCTCTGAGAGGAAACAGTGGAACTATACACAGCCTGGTGACGACGATATGCAGGTGACAAATAATTTGAATCCATCAGGCTGGCCAGGTAACACCCCACCAAAGTTTGTTCGATCAACTTCGTGTCCAGATGTAACCGAGGCAAGTGAGATATTCGATTTCATTTCTGATTCTAAAGTATTCATTGTACTCGGAGTATTTGTTAGAAATGATGCAGCCTGTCTGTTTGTAGAAGTATCTGAAAATGCTGACGGGTAACGATGATGACGAGGATGATAAAAATTTGAGACAACGGTGATAATGATGATGACGAAGAATATAACCAACTATTAACAGGAATTGAGCAACGACTTTTAACTAAATTATTTTTTTAACGGTTGATTGCTTTGGTCCTTTGAACCTACTCACTTTATTGAGAAAAGTTGGGATCGTCATTCTTTTCCTAAAAAATGGTTTGGTAATATCTTTTGTTTTGTTTCTGTTTATGTGACCACAACGATAAAAGGTGCGCATATCCCTAATCCTTAACTGACTGAACATACAAGTCTCTTTGTTTCTTTGCATGCGCACTTGAACCTAAATAGACGATTGTCGGAGTAACCTCGTCCCCAATGGTTCCGTTTGTCATGCGCGTTATAAGCGATCCCGTTCTTGACAAAAAGGAGAGCGGGCTCTGGGACGAGATTGTTATCGTGGCTAAAGTAAGTGACCGTGGGCATGTCTTGTATCTTCTCTTTACAGGATGATGTATTTATTGAAAGCATTCTGAGCCATCATGGAGACGTTTACGACTCACTCGCCCAAAGGACCTGGGTAAGACTTGGCTATTAAGGCTCTGCAATGTTTTCCTGATTCCCCCCTGGAAATCAACTTTCTATGGCCTGTACCCCCCCCCCCCCATACCCTTGACACTCCGTTGCCTCCATTGCCCCTGAAAACCATGTGATCCTCCAAAAAAATCTTTCAAACCTTCCCTCTCCCCCCTGATAAATTGTGACGAGTCCCTAAAAAACTATTTTTCTACTTTTCATTTTGTGCAGACAATACTTCACGTCCATGAGTTGTGGAATGGCGGAAAACCCATGGATGCCATGAAAGCTTGTATCGAGTTGACAGGAATGGTGGACTTTGAGAAGAGTCTGGGCGCCACACCAAAGCCGAGCAACCCCTATACGCTCATGTCACGTGATTATGCATTGTTTCTAAATATTCTGCAACAGTTACCGAGCAGCTGGTGAGAAAAATGAATTTCCTTTGATTGTAGAGAGAAAGTATCCCCATGTTGACAAGATAATGTATACGAGCGCTTGGCATCTCATCCCAACCCATAGTATTAGCATGTAAGGTCATGTATAAGCACATGGAAAAAAAAAGACAGAAATTACCCACGCGACTTAGGAAAAATATCTGCGAACAAGTTTAGTGGAGTATATCTCCCTACCAAAGTTCGCGCGGCAACGGCAAATTGACGCATGGCGGACTAAAGTGGGAAGGAGGAACTTTTCCTGGTCTGGGAAAAAATCCCTTTTTAACTTCACTAATTTATCGATCAATTCTTCCACTTTTGTTGCGCGCTTACAGAGCTTCTTGTCAAGCGATGTATGAATTTTGCGCATTTACCCTCTTACTCTGACTGACCTTGCATCTTCAGGAAAACTGGTTCTAAGTTTCCTTTAGATGCCAACATTCTAGGCATTTGCATTTAAAAGCCCTAATTATTATCGCTATTATCATTGTTATTATTTCTATATTTGTTATCATTATTGTAATTATTATTCTTAAAATTATTGTCATTATTATCATTTTATTGTTATCATTGTTGTTCTTTGTTGAACTTGTGCGCAGCGCCATGTGGACTCTTGATCTCTGTGAGCTCGTCCTTCCAAAGCTAAAAGGATTTATTTCCACTCAACATCATTCAAGGTAGGAAATAAATTGGCTTCTCTATTTGATTTTAGCTATTATTATGTTTTCTCCTCCGTTCGTTGGATTTTTTTGTTATATCCGAATGAATTGTATTTTAATCCGATTGTTAAAAAAGAGAGCAAGCGGGAGTAAGTCTGGACATGAAATAAAGTTTAATTTTGTCCGCTTTCATTGAGTTTTGAATCCTCTGGTTTCATAATATTGATTTAGGTTTTGCTTATCACGAGGCGCATTTATTATCTCAGTGAAAGGAATAGCATGAAGAGGATATACGAAGGATTAAATCTGTCAAATTCCGGATCCTTCACTCGAGGAAAAAAATTTGAAAAGTATTGCCATGATACAGAATTTGATTTCGAATTAATAAAAACTTACGCCCCTATTTGGTAAAATACACATACTCTGCATTGATATCTACTCCACAAGTTACAAACACAAAAGAAAAAAGTTTGGAGCAAATTTTTCAAATTCTTCGACAAAGTTTCATCGTAATTTGCTAAGAATCGATGAAAATCTCCGTCACCAAAATTTTGTGCCAAGTGAAGAGAGATAAGTCACCGACATTATTTCTCAGTTAGTGTTTAGTCCGGAAAGGTTTTTAGGCGTGTCTATTTGTTATTCCTATCCGTTCTTTTAATCATTTCGTTTCCTCCTCTTCTCAGCCACGTGGAAATGGCATGTAGTGTTGTCCATGTTGTATTGAAGAAAGTCGCGGTGGTGGTTCGACGGACATCAAAGGGTGAGGGAAATGATTGAAAGAAAAAAAAAATATACAAGTGTTTTGAAAAAAGAGCGCTAGTGGAGGCAGAGATTGAAATATATGAGTTATTGACCAAACGTGAGGTCGAGATGGCTGGATATTGGCCGAATTACTTTTTTGCGCTTCTATGGACGGAGACGAAATCGAGGTCCATAAAAAAGAAAAAAAAAGAAAGAGGCTCTTGTGCAGCCATCTTGACCGAACAAGTTTGAAGAATAAGGATTTAAGTATTGAGCTAAACGATTTCACTTACTTAATTAAGAATCAAGAATGACTAATTTATTTCGAGAGCCGGAAGAGAAAGCTAACTGTGTTTGTAACAACAGAGCTTGCAAGCTCTGAAAAAATGCTCGCGGTGGCCCAACGGTCGATTGTCCGAACTCCGGATATAAGCACCGAGCAGTTATTGATTGTATTTACTGACAAGTACGCTGCCCTCACTAGACCTCCTTCCATTATGAGTACAAATGTGTACCGGACTGCAAAGAAATGCAAAGAGAGAGGGGGGAGGGGGGTTCAAACTGAGTTGGGTTATCATATCATCTCTTTCATTTTCTTCCTCAGGAACTAAAGACAAAGAAAAGGAACAAAAGATCAAAGTCTGCACAAGCGAGTTGAAAGACATCAAAGATATGACCAGTGACGTCATACACGCAGTGAAAGCCGGGAAGAAAAACAATACGGAAGATCCTGTATCTATGAAACTGGTGCTGAAAGAACTTCAGTTAGCTTTAGGAACATTTTTAAGCAGTGCGAGTGCAAGTTGAGCTTTTGTTGACACTAGCTATCAACATAAAAATATTGCTGACGGGCTAGATAATCTCTGAAAGCAACATTAACTTCCAACAAAGTGGTTCTGTCCAACAGAATTGTCTCCGCTCGCCCATAAAAACGCAAGAATAAAAAAAGAATTGTACCGAACGATTGTAAGACCCCATTATATAACTATGAGACTACAGTCTCATCTGTATCTCATCTTTTTTTTTTTTCACCTCAGGGGAAGTTAATTTGAACTCAAACCAAGATGGACACCATACCTTCGCTATTGTCTATTTTTATGCGCTCACCAAACACTAGTCCTCCTCGGCAGAATAATCCACTTTCTAATAAAGTTCGGATATAACGCGCGCAGTCATTGGTTGAAAGAGCGTGCTCTATGAGAGTATAGAGCATAGAGCTGAGCTAAAGCTGTCACGCCATCTGCCAAACTGTACTATGTTCGACCTTTTCCGGGACTTCCTTTTAGCTTTCTTCCGATAATTGAAATTGGGGAGAAACACGAGACGTCTTTCATGCTCTAGCCGCTTCCTGCGTGCTTTATAACGGAAAAGAGCACAGCCAAGGCTTCTCTATTTGTTAAATAATCATAATACGGTTTCTTCTTAAATATTGAAGTAATACTTAAATCAATGGAAGAAGCCCTTGGCTGAAGTTAAACTTACATTTCGTTTCAGATTAAGATTGACCTTTCGTTTACTTTTAACCAAATCATAGCGGCCAAAACTAGGTGTGACTCGGGATGAACAGTACGTAGAGCTTGTTTCTACAGCTTGATTCAATTATAGCTTTGGCTTGGTGTTCGGTTTTTCCCGCGTACCAGTTAAAAGACAGGTCAGTCGAGCTTTAGGCACAGATTAGACCACCACTGCGATACAGAAGAACTTTAAAGCCATGAAACCGTCTTCGAACCGTCTTCGGGAAATTTTTACGCTAGTTTGCAAAGTCTTTCGAAGGCTAAATTTATTCTGCTCATTCAATACTTCCACATCTTTTTCGCAGCTCAGGTAAAGTTACTTTTCATTTTAAACTGCGATGAAAATTGATGAGTCATCAGATTTTTTTCCATAAATATTCCAGTAATCAGCTTTTGTTGAAGAAATGTAAAATGGTTTCCGTGTTTACATAGCCTGATGTAAACACGCGGGAGTTTGGGAGAACACGAGATAAGCGTAGGAAACCACGACGCGAAGCGGAGTGGTTTCCAGCTTATCGAGTGTTCTCCCAACCTCCCAAATGTTTTACATCAGGTTATATAAACACGGAAACCATTTTAAATTTCTTTTATAAAATAACTAATGAAAGAGAAACAAAAACCGTGTTTACATATGCTCATGTAAAATGGTTTTATGGCCAATCAGAGCGCGCTTACTATTTGAATTATTTTATAAAAAATATTGTTGTCCGCAAGAAGCTAGAGAGGGAAATCCCATTTCCTTTAAGAATTTCACCTGTTTTAATTGCCTAATGTCGTGTGGTCGCTTCCTAAACATCTGTGGTCTTCTGTAATACTCAAAATTGATCTTTAAACTGGGTTTTTTGTCTGAGTAACGAACGATAGCTAACAGACTGTTTCAAAGGCCAAATTTATTCTGCTCGTGTGATAGTTCTATATTTTCTTCGTAGCTCAGGGGATGTTAATTTTCCAATTATACCGAGATGAAAACTGATAAGTCATCAAACTTTTTCCATAAATATTCCAATAATTAGATTTTATAAAATATTTTTACCCGTAATAAGCAAGAAGGGGAAATCCCGTTTCTTTTACATCTGTGGTCTTCTGTAACACTCTAAATTGATAGTTTAATTGCGTTTTTTTCTCTG